AGTTGGTAATAAATCCAGTTGATTAAGTTAAATATTACAAAGGTGAATTTACCTTTGTAATATTTACAAAGGTGAATAAATAAAGAAGCTAATTAAAAGAGATGTATACATTTATGTCTCACTGTATAATTACATTTTTAACTACATTTATTTGTTTATTGTATTTTTGGAGGTAATTAATTGTATCCTCTTTTGTTTATTGAGCATTTATTTATTTCTGTATTTATTCCTAAATATGGGAGAGCTTGTCCTCCATAGAGAAGTGTCCTGATTAACACAAAAAAAAATATAAGCAATAGAGAAACTGGGTGGACCTAAACTAATAAAGAAAAGTTTGCTTTGTTCAACACCAAACAGGCGGACCAAGGGTATAATCTGCTGTGAATACACCTCTTAGTTCCTGTTAGTGTGCTTTCACCCTTCATGGGTGAATAGTGGTTCCATGCCTCGTAATTTTATACTGATTTCCAACCATGTTATAGCTGTTTACCATGGCCTGATATAAAACCAATGTGTGGATGTAAGCTTTGTTAGGAAAATTATCATTAATTATGTGTGATTATATTACACCTTACTATTAGCTGCCTGTTGTGTGTCAGAACTGATGTTTTTTCCCAGTAGTTTATCTAATTAGGCCAGTTCTTTGGTCCAACTATATACAGTTATAATCGTCATTCTGTACGTGGCAAAGATTTGGGAATGGAATGAGAGCGGCGTCCTTCAGCTAAGAACAACGTGTAATATTGTGATAAGGCTAGAGCCATGGATGTCTCCTCATCTGCTAACGTGTATGATGTACAGTAATGATGTGATGATGTGGCAGACTGAAGTATAAAATGCTTCTCTACGTGTTTTCGGGGCCACTTCCCAAGGAGCGAGCCTGGTTGGTAAGCAGCTGCACTCTGTAACCCTAACAACTTCTCTGATCTGAGTAGATTACAATTTCTATCAGAATCTGTTGTCATGGCTCATGGTTATTTAATATATATATGTTATAAAGTGTTATTTAAAGAGATTGTCCCAATTGATCTCTTTTCAGGAAAAGATACGGAGAGAGAAAACTTCAAGGTGTAGACACAGAACTTTGCATTAACCACTTTAAAACTCACTGCTCTGCCTCAGTACGCCTCTATGTTTTCAGTTCAGTAAAAAAAGGTAACGTTAGGAAGCAGGCCAGGAACATGGTTCATGACACCAATAAGAACAAACTCAAAAACAAGATCATGTCATACTCTGCATCTGTTCATTAGCACTTCTGCGTGGTACATACCGATCTTCTTCCCAGTCTTGCTTCCTTGTGATACCAGAACCTAACCTGCTCTCTGTTTCCTTCTAGAATTCTGGATCCCAAGCTCGAGACGACTCCTCAGAACCTAAATAACTTCTGAGAATGTTTTTATTTAAGAGCAACTCTGCAAATAAACAAACACCTAGAAAAACTACACTATATTATATTATTTTCCATGTGAGTCCCACATTGTTCATTCTTCTTGAATGAAAGTGCTTTAAATCAGTCCTGTCTTTATCCAAGCTAGGTCAGATCCTGATGATTGAAAAAGGAGGCAGGGAAAGCAGGATAAAGAGTTAACCTCGCTGCATACAATTAGCCAAGCCTTCTTGCTAAACCCGGTCATGGAAAAGGACGGTTCTTGCGCTAGTTTTCTGTCTCTCTCGCTCCCTCTTCTCCAACACCCACGACTCGAACTGTCAATCACCCGCAAAACATCTGCGCTGTGACGGGAGGTGGTGAGCAAATACACTTCTAGTCACATCAGGGCGCAGCAGAGCACCCTGAGCTCTCCTACAATACAGAGGTATTGCTCCTCTGCAATACCTTTGTATAGCAGAGGAGCTACTGCTCATGAACAACTTTTAACGAGAGTCAATGGGCAAAGATTTTTGTACTCTAGATATGTCATCAGATGGACTAAAAATGGAATGACGCTTTACTAGTCATTAAAGACAAAATATGCACATCTAAAACAATACATATGAATATATTTTGAAATATTTTAAATGTTAATTTAAAATTAAATTATAAAAAAATTATAATTTATACTGCTCAGATCCCTTCTCTGCTTCAGCCCTCCTGCCTGAGCTCACCTGCCTTTCCACCTCGGGAGATCACCAACTGCACCTTTCATCGGGACCATTGGACATCACCCTCCCAAACCAACACCAAGCCTCCATCTCAGTGAGTTTCAGCGCTCCTCATCATTCAAACCAGCACCGTCCAGTTGCTCACCTGTCACCTTTCCTAGCAGAGCCCAGATTACCCAGCCAGCCGACATCATCTCACTCCAGACCACAACCTTTAATAAAACTCTTTAACTGATCATTTGCCTCTGTGATTGCACTCATTCAGCCTTTCTTCATAAAACATGACAGATAGAGGCTTTTCTCCTCCAGCTATACATTTTTATTCTGAGAATTTCATTAGAAAAATGCATGCAACGTATCCCAAAAGCAACCGAATACAAACACTAATATTGATCTTATATTTATTATTCTGTGGGGCTCTGCTTCTTTCTTCCATCCCAACTAACAGTAATCTCAATGCAATCGGTTAAAAAAGAGGATTTTTCATGTTTGCCCTGATTTCTGTGTCACTTCAAACCTTGTTAAATAAGATTTATGGGGACACAAAAAGAAAATCCAATGCACTGTTTGGTGATCCATTACAATCATGTAATTTTTCTTCATCATTCAAGACATAAATGACACTGAAAGATTAATACTGTAGAGATGCCTTTTTTAGTCATATCTGTGGGACCTCTGCTCTTTAAAACATTTTCCACGTGTGATTATTTTAAGGAGAATATTTTTGAATCACTGCATCAGCAGAGGTCAGGTATTTATGGTCTACATGAATTTGCAATTAAGTGAAAAAAAATTCTTCTGTTTTATTGTCATTCTGAAGAGTTTAAGACCATCAAACAATTTTTAATTTCTTATAAATTCCCCATGAGTAAACACAAACATCTGTTGTAAAATTTTTATTTCACTTATTAATGGAAAAGGCAATCCAAAGCAGTGTGGCCCTATGTTTAAAAGTAATTCCCCCTAAATCTACCCTGGCAGTTATAGCCCCTTAGAGGACACAACTAACTTATTTTTCCAGATAGGGAAGTAGGGTTTGTATAGCTCCTCATCCTTTATAGGAGGAGATGTTCCTATTTTTCTTTTTTATGTATTCCCATTATCATCCTCACAGCTCTGAGGAAGTCTATGAGGTTGTGATCCCTTCATGAGACCGCGTGATCTCTCTGGAAAATGTATATTTTATTAGGTACTCAAAGATGCTCCAGCATCCCTGGACCATTTCTTCTATGTTGCACATTTTTATATGTTCATATATGTTCCCATAAACATAAGAATAATAATAAGAATTATTATCTACAAAGGTAATTCTTTAATTAAATTAAAATACTGTGTAGTCAACCTTCTTCTGTGTGATAAGGATTTATCAGAGGTGAGAGTTCAGTTGAACAGCGATTTTAAAGGGATCCACAAATAGATCCTGTTCCATGCAAATTATTTAAAGAAGTATTTCCTCTGATGTCCACTTGTTTTTTTTTTCTTTAAGTATGATTAATCTATCCCTGTTATAGGGATACGCACCTCAGGCTTTTAAGTAGCTGTAATTAAATCTATACTTAAGAAACTCTCTTGACCCAGATGACTAGGTCAATTATCGACCTAAATCTAATCTTCCTTTTTTAATACAATATTCTTAAGGAGGTAGTTGCCAAACAAGTATGTGACCACATATGTGGGAACTTTTTGAAGAGTTTCAATCAGGTGTTAGAGCTCATCATAGCACTGAAACAGCTGTGATTAAAGTCAATAATGATAATTTCATGGCTTTAGATAATCGACTTGTATCTGTCCTCGTCCTGTTGGATCTTAGTGCTGCATTTGATCCAGTTGATCATAATATTCTTTTAAAAAGCTTTGAATATTTTGTTGGAATTAAAGGAACAGCACTAGACTGGTTTAAATCTTCTCTATCTGATCGATTTCAGTTTGTTCACGTTAATAACAGATTTTCCTCATGTTCAAAGGTTACCTGTGGAGTACCACAGGGATCAGTGCTAGGACCAATTCTCTTTACTTTATACATGCTCCCAATCGGTAGAGTTATTAGACAGCATGGGATTAATTTCCACTGTTATGCTGATGATACTCAGCTATATCTGTCTATAAATCCAGATGAAGCTAACCCATTACATAGATTACAGGCATGTCTCAAAGACATAAAAACCTGGATGACTCTTAACTTTCTCCTTCTAAATACAGACAAAACAGAAGTTATAGTCTTTGGACCAGATTCTTTGAAAAAGAAACTGATTAGTAAGATTTTTTACTTTATTATCTGAAATCAGTTTAATCCCATCCAAATGAAGTGACTATTTTTGATCAGGACCTGTCATTTAAATCCCATATCAAAGAGGTTTCTAGAATTTCCTTCTTTCATCTGAGGAATATTGCAAAAATTAGAAATCTCCTGTCCAGGGGTGATGCTGAGAAACTAGTCCATGCATTTGTTACTTCAAGGCTGGACTATTGTAATTCTTTACTGTCAGGAAGTCCACAAACTGTAGATAAAAGCCTTGAGTGGATCCAAAATACTGCAGCCAGATGAAAATTTAAATTAAAAAGAGAGATATCTCTCCTATCTTAGTTTCTCTTCATTGGGTTTCTGTTAAATGTAGAATAGAATTTAATCTTCAAAAGGCCTTGAATGGCAAAGCTCTTTCTTATATCAGTCATCTGATTGTACCTTATGTTCCTAACAGAGCACTGTTTACCCTGCAATGCATACTGGCTAAAATATGCTGCTGTAGCTGCTCCATTCAGCCAAAACAGCAATGAATAATATAGCACCTCCAAGGGTCACTATAGTATGATAAAGTTCTGTGGACCAAGATCAGAAACCTAGACTCGACTAAGAGGAGTAGGATAAAACTTAAGATAAATAAGAGACACAGACCAGAGAGTAAAGTTTAAATGCCGGCTTGTTATTGAACATATGGACAAAAGACAATGACTTACATTTAACATTTATTTTGGAATAAATCCCTTTTTGTGTTAAACCTTCTTAGTTTAATTTTAGGATATTTAATTCCTTTTGGGTCCTATCAATATAGGTTGCAACCTTTAGCTATTTTAATCTTCAGTTCAAGGTAGTTCAAGGTATTTCTCTATTTAACTCTTTTATTAATGAGTTTAGTTCTATTTATCTCAACTCTTTTAGTTTAGTATAGGTATCATTGAATTTAGACAAAATGTTGTTTTAGCATTTGGAACCAAACAATGAATAAAGAAAATCAAACTGTTACAAAACTCAAAATATTCAGCAAAAGACTGAACAAGTCTGTATTCCACAGAATAAAGTCTCTTACTTCCGATTTTGCTTGTTTTTCTTTCTCTGAATTATCAGTCCAATGTTATCCACCTGGATCCACTAGTTTGGTGGAAGGTGAAAAGATCCTACCAGTTCAGATGTAAACCATGAAACATCCAGCAGGGGGTGCAATCCTGGCTCATGCACAGTTCACACTGTGTCCATAGGGTGGCTCGCCATCTTGAATCTTCCAATTTCCAAATCCAGTGTCTAATCAACAATCCTTCATCCCAACCTAAGTTGGCCTAACATAAACAAAATAAAATAAATAACAGAATACAAAAACTAGATGGGTCTAAATCTAAGGAAAAGCACATTTCTGCAGATTTCTGATCCTACATGCATGTTAAAACAGCACGGAAAAGAAAAAAAAAGGACAAACCATTTACTTCCAAAGACAATGCTCTAATTTGGCTTACAATTCACTAAACATTTACTTAGTATAAACATAGTTAGTTTACAGAAAAGAAAATGCATGGTTTCCACTCACCAAGTCCCGTTTAATCCAGTACACAAACCATCAATAAAGAGTCCGGTTGTTTTGCAAAACACCAGTAGCTCAAAACCGGAAAACAAAAAAATATCTTCTCTGGAGTGAAAACAAAAATACCTTCATTGGAGTGAAAACAAAAATATCTTCTTTGGAGTACCAAATTGTACTTTTCAGTTTTAGACTCAATTTCTCCACTTGCTTCTCTGCTAATTTTAATGCAGCACTTTGCGTGTGTCTCACCAACATGGGGAATTCCCGCAACAATCTGATTGGATGCAAGTTGCTGCAGAGGCTTTAAAACAAAATGCCCTTCCTAATAGAAATCTACATGGGTTTCAACCATTTAATAATTCAATTCAATTCAGTTTATTTATATAGCGCCAAATTCACAACACATGTCATCTCAAGGCACTTTACAGTTCAACCAGATCATACAGTCAAATTGATACAAAGTTTTCTATCTAAGGAAAACCAGTTGATTATAATGTAAATAATTATTTTGGATGTTTGTTTGTTTTGTTTTTTTTAATCAAATAATATACAGTAAAATGAAATAAAACTTTTTAGATATTTTTAGATATATTTTACCATATGAACTAATTTATTGACTTTTTATCTTAAGCATTTATTGTTGTTTTTATTAACACTTTGGTGGCTCTGTTAACCTCTGGGTTACACCCTCCCCCCTTAACTCTATGCAAGTCCCTTTTGCATATTGCATAGTTTTTAAAAA